TTTTCTTCCAGTCCCTGCAGGCTGGACAGACAGACAGCACCCGTGTGTTTGCAGCTGGGGCCCAGGGCACATCTCCTCCCAGAGCCAGCCCAGCTCTATGAGCACCCACACACCCCCCTGGCAGCCGGGAGAAGAGCCGGGAGCGGGGAGGAGGGCAGCGGGGCTGCCAATGCCAAGGCGTGCCGACGGTAGTGAGCCACGGACAGCAAAAATAAATAAGGAGGCAGGTGACAAAGTGCGCTTACGCCCTGTCCCGAAACTGGCCGCTCCTCTGCCTCCTTCTGCCGCTGGCAAGCGAGAGAGGAGCCAGGGAGCTCCCTGCACGCAACCCCTTCCTGAGCAGAAGCGGCAGGGCAAGGATTAACTGCACCAGCTGAACAGGGACATTTGCATTAAGTTAATTAAAAAAAAAAAAAAAAAAAAAAAAAACCAACCACAAAACCAAAACCAAACCAAAACAAACCCTCTACAAGTTCGGGACACGCTTCCCTCTTTCCCAGATCTGCCCCAGTGAGTGAGTGAGTGTGTCAGGGACACTTTGGCACAGCAGATACTTGGGCTGGACAGGGCAGCGAGGGAAAACGTCAGCGCCGCTGCTTCCTTCCCCATCCCGTTATCCCGCAGTTCGGAGAAACCCTCGCGGTGCCAAGCTCCTCTTCGCACCCCGTGTGCCAGAGGCTCTGGCGCCGCTGCGGGGACAGTTCCCAGCTTCACGGGTAGCTTCCTCCAGCCGTGCGTTGCCTGTGTTTCTTCTCCAGGTTCCCTTTCGCCCCTCAAAACCAGAAGGGTTTCAAAATAACGAAGTCAGACAACAAAGCCTCGCTGCTGGTTTTCTTTTTCCCTGGTCCGCTGGTTAATTCACCCGCCGACCCGACGCGATGCCTCCTCGTGCCTTCATCAAGAGCAAAGACGTTTCGAGTTCCTCTTTATCCTCTCAGAGCACCAAATCCACACCCATCGGCGAGCGCACGGCCGGCGGCTCTCGGCCGCCCTTACTTCACTTCCAGGATGGAGGGG